GTATGTTTGCAATTGGAAGAGCACGCATTTAATATACTATGTAAATTTTAAAATGTAATCTCATTTATATTGTGAGTTCCATACGTTTAAGTCTACTTTTTCTGAGGGCATGAAAAAAAATTGAATAATTTTCTTTTACGAGTGCATAAGCAAGAACACAATGCAGCCGAAGCATCCAGAAACATCAATAAAACTTGTGGTGAAGGTTCTGTGAATGAGCAGACTACTAGGAATTGATTCAAAAATTTCATTCCGGGAATTCAAATCTCAAAAATCAGAACTGAAGAACATCATCGAATGTTGAAACATCAGTGTTCTGATTCGATGATGTACTCCATGAACTTCATGTTATGCGTACAGCGTCATGGACATATAACATGGAGTCGTTAATAGCGAGGTTGCGGCCGAAGTTTTCATTTCTAAAACGGGAATGTCGAATGACGAGCGCCTCTATCTTGTAAGCGGCGCTGGACGTTCGATGTTCAGGTTTTAGAGATGAAAACTTTTGCCGCAATCTCGCTATTTCCTTATACTGAAAACTTTTGAAATTAATTCAAATCTTTTATCAGAACGAGGCTACATTTAGTCTCTGATCACTGGGGTTATATCCAGTCAGTTCTGATATTGTATATGGGAGGAAGAGTTTTCTCGCTAAATTTTTGTCGCTTTTTCTGATAATCGCGGAAGGTTGCAATATGTTTATGATAATGACTGCTACAAAAAATGACGATTATCGCAAATTTCTTCCTGCAAATCGTTAGCTATGTGAAACCGCCTTTACTGTTTCTTATTGACAAGGAATCAATCATTAGAGAGGTTGCGGCCGACGTTTTCATCGCGAAAACGTGAATGTCCGACGTTCATGTTTTCGCAATGAAAACGTCGGCAGCAACCTCTCTATTAACATTTTTTTATTCTTATTTTGTTCGATAATAGAATAACTTTTACCTATTTTAGTTAAAAAATATATATATAATAATAATGTTAAATATTACATTTATTTATTCTCTAAACAATATGTAATGATTTGAAATTTTTCATTATAGAAATGCTCTTTTGAAGAACAGGATTCCGTAAGTGTTTTTTTTCAAGATCAAGATTATCCGTTATCAAAAGTTATTATTCCAGTTAATATATACATATACTAGATTTTCAGTAAAAATTGCATAAATTATTTCCAGAATGATATACAGTAAGACCCCGCTTAACGCGGGGGATGCGTTCCTAGACAACAAAACGCTAAGCGAAACAACGTTAAACGAGGTCATTTTAACATAGAGTAAATAGGGATAGTGGAACACGCGACAAAAAATAAACAAATTTTACTTTAATTTTAAGTTATTTTTATATTAATTTGTATAATAATATATGTTAAATAACACATAAACGTATGCACACAGAAATGTAAAGTTCATTTTTTGTGTCAAAGGTCCTGACTTTTCTGAAATTCTTGTTCTTTTGCAATAAAGTCGTGTTCCATTTGTCGCTTTTTCTTTCCTTAAGCAGATGCCGGTAGCAGAAGATCGCATCCCAAACGTCTCGTTTTGCTGTTGCACTCCTTTCAAAATCTGGATCATTCGCTATAATTTGATCAATGATTTCGGTTATCTTACCAAACTTGTACTAAGAAAATCTGTACAGAAATTCTTTGGGTTCTTCGTTTTCAGAATTCTATTTTCCAGTTCTACATGAATTCCATGTTCTGCCAGTTCTTGAAGGTCGTCGTTGGTAAGGCTCTCACCAGAAACCTGCTGTAACTCCTCAATATCCTGCTCGTCTATCTCCTAGTCCTGCTATATCGATTAGGTTGAGTTTGGTCAACTAACGATATAGCGATAGGCTCTTCTCGTTGAAAATCCTTGGATACCTTCAGCCATAACTTTTTCCACGCTTCGTTCGTGCATTTATCAGTTAATTCTTGCCAAGCGAAGTCGATATTTCTTATGGCATCCATGATGTTATATTTTTTCCAAAATTGTATCAAACAAACATAGATTTAAAGAAAGTACACCTTTTTGCCACCTTTATCTGATTGGTTCGTGTTTGTACATAATCGTATTATGTACGAATCAATGAAATGCCACGATAATTTAATCAGCGTAAATTTTGAGCTTTTTTTAAGGCTTCGAGTAGAGACCACGTTATATCGAATCAGTGTTAAGCGAGGCAGCGTTAAGTGGGGTCTTACTGTATATATATATATATATATATAGATATATAGATATATCTATATTATATATATATATATATATATGCTTACTGCTTACTCTGTAGAGTCCACCAAATGTATCATGTATATTTATGGGAGTACTCACTCATCAAAGATTTAATGTATTAATTATTTATTTAAATAAAAAAATTAAAAAATTTTTTCCCCTTCCCACTAAATCTCAACAATTAAAGAACACTCTGCGGCAAGAAATTCAGTGGTAAAAAAACTTTTTCAATTAAAACTCTTGTAAGCAATTTTTATGTATTATTATCAGTCTTTTTTGAAACAACTTGGTCTAATGAATAGAGTGGCATTTTTACAATGTTTTCTATGTGATGATGCCTTTTAATTTTTTTAGTATTAAATTCTTCTTCAGATAAG